CACACGTACACACGTACACACGTACACACGTACACACGTACACACGTACACACGTACACACGTACACACGTACACACGTACACACGTACACACGTACACACGTACACACGTACACACGTACACACGTACACACGTACACACGTACACACGTACACACGTACACACGTACACACGTACACACGTACACACGTACACACGTACACACGTACACACGTACACACGTACACACGTACACACGTACACACGTACACACGTACACACGTACACACGTACACACGTACACACGTACACACGTACACACGTACACACGTACACACGTACACACGTACACACGTACACACGTACACACGTACACACGTACACACGTACACACGTACACACGTACACACGTACACACGTACACACGTACACACGTACACACGTACACACGTACACACGTACACACGTACACACGTACACACGTACACACGTACACACGTACACACGTACACACGTACACACGTACACACGTACACACGTACACACGTACACACGTACACACGTACACACGTACACACGTACACACGTACACACGTACACACGTACACACGTACACACGTACACACGTACACACGTACACACGTACACACGTACACACGTACACACGTACACACGTACACACGTACACACGTACACACGTACACACGTACACACGTACACACGTACACACGTACACACGTACACACGTACACACGTACACACGTACACACGTACACACGTACACACGTACACACGTACACACGTACACACGTACACACGTACACACGTACACACGTACACACGTACACACGTACACACGTACACACGTACACACGTACACACGTACACACGTACACACGTACACACGTACACACGTACACACGTACACACGTACACACGTACACACGTACACACGTACACACGTACACACGTACACACGTACACACGTACACACGTACACACGTACACACGTACACACGTACACACGTACACACGCTCGCACGCAGACACACGCTCGCACACACGCACACATACGCGCACACACGCTCGCACACACGCACACATACGCACACGCACGCACACACACGCACGCACCCACGAACCCCGCACCCACATACGCATCCACGCACGTACCCCCGCACGCACCCACGCACGCACCCACACACCCACACACACACGCACACGCACACGCACACGCACACGCACATGCACACACACATACACACACACACACTCACGCACGCACGCATGCATGCACCCACGCACGCACTTCCGCACGCACGTACGCACGCACCCACGCACGCACGTACGCAGGCACCCATGCACGCACTTGATTCCTATACTTTCCTTATCTGTATACAGATAAGAAAGTAAAAATATTGTTACACAGGTTTTTGTTATCTTAATTTATGTCAACTCAACTTTCACAATAACGATACAACTGATAACATTAACATGTAACGTCTATCATAAAACTGAAAACTGACGTCAGGATCATCCTTATATAGCTTGCGAACTTGACCCTTCTCGAACTGTCATCTAGAATATTCTTGACGAGTAATGACATTTCCAGACATTTCGGGACTATTCCATCTTTTTTTACTTGTACTTTTACTTATAACGACCGCAGCACACTATAGTGTGATGGGTGACATTGCACTTCTTTTCATATTTGTACGTTTCCTATTACGGCTGCAAGCCACTGCAAGGTGTTGCGTAACAATATGAATAAAAATGAGAGGTAAGGGGGACGGAGGGTCGGTTAACAAGTAACAAGAATGAAATATTTTTAATTGACAGATTTTTCTGTAAACAAAATAAATTGTTCATAATTTTTTTTTAGTTAATAGAGTGGAACTGTGGACCAAACCTCATCATTTCAAAATCTATTGTGGATATATTTTTATCATTAGTTAAAGCACTAGTCTAGTTTAATATTCGTCGGGTCATACTCTAATATCATATCTAAAAGTCCCTCTTTGTCTTATTTCGGTCTCTACTTTTACGATTATCAGAAAATATTCAATTAAATAAGTCAACCCCGGAAATCCCTCCCTATTAGGATGACTATAGTAATGGGAATATACTAGAACCATAACGATAAATCTAGAGATTTTGGTGAACTGTAGAAAATGACAAATTCACTGCATTGGTCAGTGCAAGAAATGGTGGAGGTGCCTTCTAGAAATTTCAAAGTGGTCTAGAGCGTAACATTTGGGTACATACAAAGAATTGTTTCGTCATTTAAGTTAGTTCAAGTTGAGAAAAAAGTCCAAATAAATTAGTATAGTATTTGAGTATAATCAAATTAATTATTGTATTTAGTGTAAATAAATTATAATAATTAATTTTTATAAATAAATAAACGATATACTATCTCTTTTGACTAGCTAGTTTCTCTTGGTTTTTCTTCTCCGAGTGTAAGGAATTAATCTTAATAAACCTTCGCGGTAGCCAAATACTTTTACTGCAGTTTTCTCCTATCGATATTGAATTGAAAATGTAAAATAAAAACATCTAAGTGCATTGTCACGTTGTTTGTTTTACTGATTTCGATTTCGAAAAAGTTCATTATGCAACATCGAATTTCTGTGCGTCCGATCGCTAACAGTAAAAGTTTATTCGCTTCAGAAAGAATGACATGCACGTCGTCTTCATGATGGTCTCCATGGGCAGGCACTTGCCGACTGCTAAACATACCAGATCATTTGAATTAATGGCAGTTATGCGGAGAATAAAATTCTTGATATAACACACCGTTTCAAATGATGATTATCGGTTATAGACGAATGCTGTTTGTCATTTGGTTACTATAGTTGTTGCCACAGCTGCTTCGTCACATAATATTACAGGGATTGACTGAGAAATTCGCAGAGAATGATGGGAAGTTTGGGGCAACAGAATACCTACTTTAATTAGGGGCTCCTAATCCATTTTTTTTTTAAATAAAATTTAAAATCAATCAGAACCTAAAAGACTAATTTATACGTACATACTCTAAAAAAAAATAAATAAACAAAATTTTATCTTAATTTTCTGAAATGTGTAGAAAACTTTAGCTGCTCCCCTCCTCGAGATTAAAATTCTTACAATGCATTAGCCTTTTATAAAAAAAAGGTATAGACGTTTTGAATTCGTTTAACAATAGTATCTTCTGTAACAAGGTTGGAATGAAAATTCGATACGAGTGGAAGATTCTGAACGCCAGCATAAGCCAGGGTGAAGGCCCATGAGTATCGAATTTTCATTCCAACAGAGTAACAGACTGTATTTTCTCCACGGCCACAAACACAGTAGGAGTTGAACATAGTAAAATGAAACTTTGAACAAAATGAGATATTTAATCTAACTTACTTTAGGCAAGTTTTTATTTAAATTATTTGCATAATTTGTGAGTTCAGAAGGAATATTTTCAACTTCCATATGGGAATCATTATATTCACCAAGTTTCATATTTAGTTCCACTTAATAAACGCGACGTCGCGTAGTACTGTCAGTCATGAAATTCATGACTATCTACGATGCAAACGTGGTATTCACAGCCATTAACCAGTAGCTATTACATAATTAACATTTTGTCTCTAGAGTTAGAATGAAATACTGTAACGGTTGGAACCGTTTTCGTTATTTGACCCAGGCATTATAACGATCGGAACCGTTTTCGTTATTTTGAAACCAACATCTCTACACAAATGTCATTTGTCGTTTATGCCTTGTGTCAAAACTTGGATTGTCATTTTCATTTTATCTCTGTCGACAAGCAAGTTGATTATTGAATTTTAATTATCTTTTATCTTGAACATGTACTAATTATCTTTAATATTTTTAATGACCGTCTGATTTTAAAAAAGGTAAGTTTCCTACCGATATTTTGTTGAAAATATATATTTAGTACAAGAATTTCTAATTAAAATGTCAAGTATTGAAACATAACCTCAAGAACATGAAAAACACAAGAAATCACATGTTTTATATAATTTCATATATTATTTTGTTTGAAATAGATAATATGCTTTACTATATTTAAATATGTTAAATAAGACTTTTTCTTTTCCTATTAAATTTGGAATCTGTGAAGCTATTCATTTAATAATTTAAATTGTGCATTTGATAGTAAAAAGCATCTTATCTGTTTCCTATATAA